CCAGTAGGGGGTGTGCAGGGGGCAGCCGATCCATTTTCTCTTTCTCCCTCTTCTTTCCTCTCTCTCTCAAAATCAATTTAAAAATCTTTTTAAAAGCTTGGCTCTTTAAAAAAATTACTATTGGAAAGAAGAGCATACAGAATTAAAAAATAGCTAACTGCAATCCCACTACCCAGCCACATTCATTTGTAGCATTTGGGTGAACTTCTGGTCTGTCTTTTGTGCATGTACCTAAATGTGCGTGGGTAGGTTCGCCACATATGTCTTCACGGGATTCCCATGCACTCTCTTTGGGAACGTCTCTGATTTCTCCGCCTAGTGTGTAGCTCCCACAGGAGCAGCTGCCATTGTCCCTGAGGCTATCCCCAGTGCCTGGTACGCAGCAGGTGCACAATAAACTTGGCGACAGCCCAGCTGTGTGACTTCATTCTCTCTGGGCTTGGTTTCCTCATTTGAGCAATAAAACTATAGGACTACCTGATGCCTGAGGAAGGAGTGCGCTTCTCACCTGGAGTGGAAGGGAGGAGGAAACTGGGGCAGAGCTCCTGTTCCAGGCTTTGGAGTACTGGCTGCAGGGTAGGGAAAGGAGGGACAGACACACAGCCACAGGGCAGGATGAAGGAGCGAGTCCCCCATCTACAACCACAGCCATCTACCCAACTGCCCCCTGCCCAGGGGTCCCTTCCCTGATGGCAGTCATGAAGCTGGGGCAGCGCTCACCATATCCCAGGGCACCCCTGGCAGACAGACATTCCGGTTTGCAGCGTAGAAGACCTCCCCGACCGTCAGTGAGAGCTCGTTTGTATTCACAAACCACAGGGCCTTTGGGCAGGAGGGCACACACACCTGGGGGCAGAGGGCGTGCTGAGGGGCTCTTACCAGACCTAGGGGAGATCTGGGCAGAGGCAGGTCCCAGGCTCTGACCTGGGGCGTGGGGCACTGCAGGCCGTGCTCAGCGACCTCGATGATGTTGGTGGCCAGGATGCAGCTGAAGATGTTGAAGTACAGGAGGTAGGGTTTATCTCTGCAGGAGGGGAGGAAGCGCAGGAGTCAGGGCCTGGCTAGGCGGAGGGGATGGGAGGGACAGCCGGGCCTCACCTCCAGGCTGCAGTGGCCCAGACATGCACCGCCTAGCTCCTAGCCTCAGGAAGCTCGGTCCAGCTGGGAGGAATGAGACACCAGAGGTTTTCCCAGTGTTGTTCAACATCGTACATGGCTCAGACAGTGGAGCAGATTCATGCTCACAGATGCTTAAGAGCACGGACTCTGGAGCCAAATCTCCACCCAGTTTTAGGGCCTCGAGGAAGTCAGTTAATTGCTCACGGCCTCAGTTCCATCATGGTAAATAGGCTTGAAATGGTTTTGTGTGTATAAAGTACACCGCTTTGCCTGGCCGGTGTTGCTCAGTGGTTGAGCGTTGACCTGTGACCCAGGAGGTCACGGTTGATTCCTGGTCATGGCCCATGCTGGAGTTTTGGGTTCAGTCCCTGAGGCAGCCGATCAATGACTCTCTCTCGTCATTGACTCTCTCTCTCTCCCTCTTCCTTCCTCTCTCTGAAATCAATAAAGATATATATATTTTAAAAAGTACACTGCCTGCCTGGAACATGTAAATGCCATGTGAATGCTAGAGGTTTTATTGTTGATTGACCATTTCCTGCTCTCAAGGACTGACAGCATCGTTTTTAGGGTTATCCTTGTGTTTCAGATGAAGAAATTAGAGTTTAGAAAAATTGAGCACCTGCCCAAGGCCACAAAACCAGAAACCCAGTTGGGGATTCAAAGGTGCGTCTATGAAGTCTAAAACCTACGCACTTGACCATGACCCTACATTGCCTCACGATGTGGGGGGCTCATAAGCCAACTGCCCAGCAATGGAGACTGCTCAGTGTGGCCTGAGGGTGAGATTCAGGAAGGTGGGGGGGAGAGGGGGCTGGCAGGACGAAGGGTGTCCCCTGCCCATCCCCATCCTCACCTCCCTTTTGCCCTCTTCTGTACTCACTTGTTTGCCCCCACGCCGCAGTAGGCCCCAGTAGAGTTCCTGGGGTAGAGGACTTGCCGGGGGTCTCCATACGCCCATGCTGGACACGGACATACAGAAGAATCACCGGAGGCGGAGGCAGGGACATTGTAGGGAGCAGCCATGGGTATGGTCCCTCCCTGGGTTATTGCCCTCAGCCGCCGCCCCACACTGCGCAGCTGGTACTCACCCACGACCCCCAGCACAATGTAGCCCAGAATGAAGAGAAAGAAGAGGGCACAGCAGACGACATCTGTGCAGCCCCTGGAGGGAGAACGGGAGCCTTGCAGGGCAGAGCTGGGGGATGCTGGAGAGGGCGCATCACTAGGCTTTATTTTTTTAGGAAAACTTTTTTCTGGGTGGGTAAACTTGCCTTTGCAGTGTAACAGGAAAGTGCAGCTCAAGTTTTCCCCAAGGCCACAGGCCAGAACATCTCCAGCCCTGGATGTGCTGGGCCCCTCCACACACAGTGCCCCCACTCTCCTGGCACAGGAGTTTTCTTTTTCACAAGCTTCTTACCAATATTTCAGCAAATACACAGCAAAAGCAAGACACCCCTGCCCCACCAGTGCAGTTCCCAGAACTTACCTGTTCTTGATAGGGCCTCGAAAGGAAGGGTCATATTTGACTGGTTTCCCTGAGGGCAATGGGAGCAGTGTGGAGAGTGAGGCACTCATAAGAGAGTCTCTCTCCCCAGTTCCTGTCCCCCCCAAGTCCTTCCCTGCCTTCAGGGGTTTCCGGGGGTGGGGGGGAGGGCTGGCAGGAGGGGAAATTGGAGAGCAGGATAGGTAGGATGAAGGCCTGGACAGCAGTTCTCCTGCTCACCATGAATCCACCCAGGTGGCCTTGGAAGGAGGGGAGGGGAGTCCTTTACGGGTCATTTCCGGCTCACACCTCGAGGCCAGCAGCCAGGAAAATAGCCTTCTCCTTTTGCCTCCACCCTGGCCCATCTCTCCTGAGTCTCCTCCCAGCTGCTTTGTGGGACTTTCCGTCCACTAATCTCAGTGGCTCTCATGCTCCAATCTCTGTCCCTCTCCCCTCCCTGTATCCCGCCCTGGGTGAGCACAAATGGAGTCCCTCAGGGAGGTCATAGCCCCTTCCCCATCTGCCTCAGACCCCCAACTCTGGCCCAAGGCCATGGGGAAAGAAACTAGGGCCAAAGGCATCGAATCCTGCAGGGCCTGGGGAGAAGGAGCTCCCTGTAGACCCTACCCGAAGGGACCTCAGTCTCCAGGCTACTGCCAGTCTCTGGGCAAGCAATCAAATCAGGGTGACACCTGAGCTCAGTGGCTGAGACTGGGACTGTGTCCTGTTCCTGGTCCTCCCTGAGTACACACAGGGAGGAAGTGGGGCCAGGCACCCAGGGTCCCTGTGGGCTCCAAGAAGGGTGGGCAGAGGGCTGGGCAAAATGTGGGAAGAGGTGGGGTCCATTCTCTGCAGGTGCTCTGGACTCTGTCCCTGCATGGCTCTTGGACATGAGGTCAATGATTGATCCAAAGCTGTTCCAGGAAGTCTCCTGGTAAGCCCTCACTGCTCCTTCCCCAGCCTGCTTTGGGACCCAAGCTTCCCCTCCAAGAGGCTCCTCCATTGGGGTTCCCTTTCCTCCAGAGCAGGGCCTCAGATCCTCAAATCCCAAGGGATATGTGCAGGCAGGCCCCTAGCCCTCGCTGCTCGCAGGGATCCCCGAGGCTGGTCCCTGGTCCCTGGTCCCTCTCCCCTCACCCTCTCCACCCTTAATCCTCAGATCCCTGGGACAGGCTCCCAGCCCTCACTGCTCACAGATTCTGGACACAGGCTTCTTGCTTCCTTCCCCCGCAGGCCTTGCCCTTCATGGGAACCCCAAAAGGCCCTTCCTCTATTCTTCAAGGTACCCCCAGTAGAGACTTGGAGATGGTCCAGCCCCCTCCATAAAGACTCTGAGCAGCAACTCCTCACAGAGACCCTAGCACAACCCACTTCCCCTGCCACTGCTCACAGAGAACCTGGTGGGAAGACCTCGGGCACCTTCCCCGCAGCCCCAGGGTCCAGGCTGAGACTCTTCCTCACGGGACCGCAGTCTTTCCTGCTGACAGGCCTTCACCCCAGGGAGGCTGTAGGCTCCACAGCACAGGACACTCCCCAACCCTGAGCCCCAGGCCCCAGCTCAGGACCACACCCTACCTCCTTCTATTCAGGCTTTGCTTTCTTCTCAGGGTCCTGCCCTGAGGGACCAGGGTCTAGGCCTGAACCCCCTGGTCCCAGAGACTTAAGACAAACTCCTCTCAGAGACCCCAGCTTCACTCCCCAAAGCCTCCTCGGCAATGGCCCCTGAACCCCATCTTCCTCCCAGGACGCTGGCTCTGCCTTCTTCCATTAGCTTCCCCAGCTCCTGTCCCCGGGCCGGCACACCACCGCTGCCCTGAGTGGCCCAGCCAGGCCTCCCTCCCTGTACAGGTCCCTGGCCTGCTCCAGCCCCAGCCTCACCGTAGGCCTCATCCCCGTCGGGCTTTCCCCCCATGGCTCAGTCTCCGGAGTGATTGCAGCCGGGAGACCTGGCAACACACCTGCTGCCGCCCCGCCCTCGCACGTCACAGCCCCACCTCCACCTGTGGTCCCCGACACACTCTAGTTCCTCCTCAAAGTGGGAAGGGAGGAGGGCGGAGGGCCGGAAGGCCCGGCCAGGGCCAGGGGCTCAGGGCTGGTCACTGGGGCCCCTGGACCATGACCTGAAGGACCTGGAATGTTCCCAGAATCCTTCATAATTCTGCAAACTGCCTCACATTATGTCCATACCCTCAAGTTAAGATTGTCGAGATTTGCCTTTTAGGCCTTAACTAGACCCTGCCCTCAGAGGTCCCCTACTGCCCCTCCCCACCCTGGGGAGCTGTCCACACCAGTCCAGCCTGCTTCCCATCTTGCCTTGCCCCTTGGACCCACATTCCCCTGGCTGTGTGTGCTTCCTCCCTGCAACCACCCCCTTCCAAATCACCCAGACAATTTGTTACCAAACCCAACCTTTATTGAGAACAAAGAAAACCAGTGGGCATAGAGGCCCATTTCAGTTCATCAAACTTTAGCTGAGGATGGGAAACAGGGGGGCGGCCAGCCTGGAAGTCACTCCCCCAGGGAGGAACCAGCCCTGGGAAAGGGGCTGTCAGACCTCCAGGGCCTGGCTGGGGTGTATGGCCGGGAATGTGTGATGGGCTAGTGGGAGAGATGGCAGTGCCCCCTGTGTGGGTGTGGGTGTGAGCAGCAAGTGACAGAGGCAGCTGCTGGGCTGGTGGCATCCAGGGGTGGGGAGGGAGGGCATGGTCCACTCAGGGGTTGACAGGGGGCAGGGAGCTGAGCTCAGGCAGCAGCTCGGGGTGGGGGTCCAGGCGGGCCAGGCGGCTCTGCTCTAGGGCGATGGCTTCAGCAGAGTGCTTACACTTCTCAGAGCCACACTGGCAGGTGAAATATTTGCTTTTGATGTCCCAAAAGCGGTCGCCATAGTCAAACCTGTCAGAGAAGCACAAGAGGCTTGTGGGACTCAGACCTGACTGCCCAGGCCCACTCCAGAACCTCTGTGGATCCTGCTCCCCAGGAGGGGCCCTGGCACACCCTGCTCTCCTGACAGGCTCTAAACCCTCCTCTGGTCTATGAACCGGTAGCACCAGAACTGCCTGGGAACTCGTCTGAATGCAGAGTCTTGAGCCTCATCCCAAACTCTTTGAATCAAAATTCTCTGAGGCTCAGGCCTGTTTACCACGCCCCCCAGGGACACTTCTGTACCGACCTCTGGGCGCTGCTCTACTCCATGCCTGCAAACCGTAGCTCCCCTCGGCTGCAAGCCCTGGGCAGGTGTGCTGCACATCCCACACCCTGGCCGAGCCCAGCCTCACCCCAGCTCCTCCCCAGTGCGGATGTCTCGGGAACTGAAGAAGGCAATGCGTGGAAATCGCAGGTCTTGGTGCAGCATGAAGACACGAACGGGGATGATGTTGGGGTCACAGAGGTGGTTGATGAACCGGCTGATGTTGCCATAGTAACGGGCATCAATGCAGTACACCTCTCCATCCTGAGCAAGGGCACACACTTCACATCTACCAACTTTAGCGCCAGGCCGATGTCCCCACCCAGTGATCAACCCCCTCCCCCAAGTTTCCATATGCTGACTGGAGTAGGGGACAGCAGGACCTCCTGCGCACCTTGTTGTCTAAGTCGAAGAGATAAGAATCATCCTCTCTCACATCAGCCTCAGCATCGGAGATCAGCTCCCCGACATACCTGCTGGGCAGGAAGTGGTTCTGAAGGTGAGCAGGGGTCACGGGAGCAGGCTCCAGGACGTGTCTCCCCATAACCCCATGGGCTCCTCTTTCAGTGTCAGACACCCCAGGTAGTGTCTGTGAATGTCACTGATGAACAGTGCTGGGACCTGGCTGGGTGAGGCTCAAACCCAGGTTTGTCTCCCAAACTGCTGCTTTCCCCAGCTCAGAAAGGCAGGAAGCCCTGGCCTGTGTGGCTCAGTGGTTAGAGCATCGGTCTGTGCACCAAGGGGTCAGAGGTTCGATTTCCAGTCAAGGGCATGTAGCTGGTTTGCAGGTTCGATCCCTGGTCCCAGTCAGAGTGCGTGTGCAAAAGGCAACCAATCAATGTGTCTCTCTCACATTGGTGTTTCTCTCACTCTCTCTCCCCCCCTCCCCTCCCTCTCCCTCCCTCCCTTCCATTCTCTAAAAATCAATGGAAAAAATATCCTCAGGTGAGGATTCACACACACACACACACACACACACACGAGGCAGGGAGAGGGCGAGGCTGGGAAGTGGTGGGATGTGGGCAGTGGTAATGGACAACTCTGTGGTCTGGGCAGAGCGGGGCAGGTGGAATGCTTGGCTGTGGGGACGGGGGCAGAAGAGGCTGGCTGGAGCTGGGACAGTGAGGAGAGGTGGGACCTGTCAGGGAGGGGAGGTGGGACCTGTCAGGAAGGGGGACAGAGAGAGGGTAGAAGAGGCAACAGTGGCCGTGGGTCCACCCCCTTGCCCCTGCCCCACTCACTCGCAGATGAAGGTTCCCTGGGGGATGGTCTGCAAGGCGCGGACCCCCCAGCCCATCTTGGCTGTTCGGTAGAGCTGCAGTCGCACCCTGGGGGTGGGAGATAGGGTGATGCTGGGTGAGTGGGAGATGGTGTGTGCATGTCTGTGCATGCGTGTGCTCACACACGGCGGCAGGCGGCAGCAGGGGGCCTCTAGGGGCAGGGCCTCACTTGATGCCGCTCTGTACCACCCGGTTCTTGCAGTTTCTCCAGCAAGAGCAGGCCTGGTTACACTCGAAGATGAGCGGGGGCTCGATCTTGTTAAATTCCTGGAGCAGACGCCCGTCCTGGGGAAAGGAGGGAGAACAGTGGCTTCTGTGTGGTCCCACTTCAGCTGCCCAGGGCCCCCAAGAACCCTCCCCAAAAAATCCTGCCCTGACTCCAACCCAGAGACAGGGAACACTACATATGCTCTGAGGTCAGAGGACAGGATCCCACAACCATCCCCCTTAATTCACATGTGTCTGGGCCCATCTCTGTCCTAGCAGTGTCCCAGGAATTCCAGGTCTGGCCCTGCCCTCTTTGCCACTTCCTGCCAGGGTACGAGGTGAAAGGCAAGGTTGAGGCCAGCTCCTCTGCAGGAGTGGACAAGAGTCTGTGGACAGGGAGAGGGCGCATACCTTGTCATACCAGCAACGGATGCTGAGCTGGCCGCACAGGCAGTTGGAGCTGGAGCAGTCGTCCACACATGTGCAGTGCTGGGCAGGAGGCAGGGTGAGCTCAACACCCAGAATTGGCCCTGAACCTCAGCTCCCAAAGCTCCCTGCCCACCACTGCTGCCCTTTCTTAGGGTCCATGTTTTAGGGTCATGGGTGGTGATGGTCCCACGGTGAGGAGAATCAAGATGTTGCTGAAGGTTTGCCCTAGGGCTACCATGAGCCTATATAATACCTGCGTGTGTCCTAGTGAAAGAACCCTTCTCCAGGTGGACTGAGCCCCCAAGAGCTCCCTCCCAGCCCTTCCCTTGCAGGTGCCCCATTGTATTTGGCACCTCTGATGTCCCAAACGGAGGTTCCAGGCCCCTCACCTGCAGGTGTGTGATGTTGCGGTCAATGTTCATGGTGGATGTCTCACAGTTCTCTGAGATGTACTTGTAATCCTCGGGGCATGGCTCCCCATCCACGCCATTGACACAGGGAATAGGCACGTTCTCATAGCCCCGAGCGACGTCCCTGGCAAAGGGAAATGGGGTGAGGGCTTCCCTAGGTGCCAGGAGAGGGCTGGAGAGGCTCCTGGGCATGGGGAGTGGCCTGGGTGTTCACTAGGGCGTGGGGAGTGAAGCTAGCAGGTAAAATGCAAGACCCAGTTAAATTCAAATTTCAGGTAAATAAGAAATAACTTCTTAGTATAGGTACATCCCAAATACTGCATGGGACACTTTTATACTAAAAAAGTATCAACTGTTCATCTGAGATTCTAATTTAACTGGATAGCCTCTATTTTTATTTGTCCTATTTGACAGTCCTAGTAGGGAGAAGCGAAGGTGGTTCTTGGGACTGCCTGGGGTGCGTATGGGGATGTTTTGGGGTCCAGTGTGGCCTGGGGTGGGGGCCACTTTGGGATGGAGGGCCGAGTGCTCACCGGCAGATGATCTTCTCAGTGCGGATAGCCCGATTTCCCACTCCAAGCCGAAGCTTGCGGTTGAGCTGGAGTGCAAACCACACGTCCGAGCGTTCAGGAGTCAGGTCCCACGCAGTGTCTCCCTCCTTGTTGCGCAGCTCAGGGTTTGCTCCGCGTGACAGGAACAACCTAGTAGGGGGAGAGGAAGCCCGTGGGGCCCAGGGCTGCGCAAGGTGCTGGAGGGGCTTGGGGTGTGGGGCAGGCGGGGGCGCACAGCACGCAGTCGTGGTAGCTCTCCCGGGCAGCGATGTGCAGGGGCGTGTCCCCGTGGTAGTTGACAGCGTGGAGGTCGCAGCGGGCATTGAGGAGGACCTCGGCGATGGCCGCACTGCCAGTGAAGGACGCCCAGTGCAGGCAGATGTTCTCCTCCTGTGGAGGTTGGGGGGAAGGGGTAGCCTGGGCAGTGAGCCCTTGAACCCAACCTCCACTTTGCTCAGGGTCTGGGCCAATCCCACTCCCCCACCCGAATAAAACTCTCCCTCACATTGTCTGTGAGGGTGACATCGGCGCCTCGCGTCAGCAGCATGCGGATCACCTCGATGTGCTTGTGCTCTGCGGCCCAGATGATGGGGGTCCACCCCCCACTGTCCTGTGGGTGCGAGGGAGGGAAGAGGGTTGGGGGTAGGCCCAGCAACCAGCTCTGTTCACCAAAGCAGCCCATGGCCAAGAGCACATGCTCCGGAGCAAGACTCAGAGTGAGCTCGGCTCAGCCACTTAGTGCTGTGGCACCCCGAGCAAGGCCCTCAGTGCCTCCGTGTCGGCTTACTCATCTATAAAATGAAACTACAGTGTCTACTGCTCAAGACTGTAGAGCACTTTTTCTCTTTTTAAAAAATATGTATTTCCTAAGCCTGCCTATTCCTAAGTCCTAGATGCAGTGACCCAATGGTGATAACCACCCCTGGGTACACGGACTTTAGTGTGTAAGTGCTGAAAGGCCAGGATGCCCTCAAAGGCCACAGGGGCCAACTTCCAGGGGCTCCTCCTGACAAAGGATGAATCGAGAAGACAACACAGTAAAACACATCTGCTCCATGAAAAAGAAAAGAATCTCACGGGACTCAGAGATGAAGGCAGCGACTCAATACTCTGAAAACTGATAAAGAGAAGCAAGAAAGAGAAGAGCAAAGAGAAATGCGAACGAGGGAGAAAGGTGGGGAAAGCTGAATGGAATGGGATGCAAGGAGAGGAGGGGCCAGAGGTCAGCTGAGGTGGAAAGGGACCACAGCCTGAGGCTGACCCAAGGACCCTGAGGGGCTGGGCGGGGCAGCCGGGCCTCTGACCTGGGCGTTGACGTCCACCTGTCCTGTGCTAAGCAGCAGGCTGACCATCTCCAAGTTCCCAATTTTGGCTGCATGGTGGAGGCAGGTGGAGCCGTCCTCCTCCTGAGGGAGAGGCGGGCAGATGAGTCCTCCAACAGGCAATTCTGACCCAGTCCCCAGGCCCTGCCGCCCGGCAGCACACCTTGCTATAGACACAGCCACCGCGCTGCACCATGTAGCGGGCCACCTCCAGGTGGTTGTTCACCACGGCCTCCATCAGCGGTGTCCGCTGCTGCTTGTCCACAGCATTGATGTTGGCTCCAGCCTGCGAGGAGGGGCATGTGGGCTGGTACCAGGGAGGGGCTGGGCAGGGCATTCCAAGGGCCTGGTCAGTGAGGAAGAGGGCCGGCCGTGCTGACCTGCAGCAGCACATGGCAGATCTCCACTGAGCCCTTCTGGGCGGCCGCATGCAGGGGTGTGCGCTTGCTCTGCTGGTCGCTCTGGAAGTTGGGGTCCAGGTTGTCCACTGTGGGGAGAGCCCGCCACACGGGGAGAGGGAGGGACAAGTGGTAAGCAAGCTAGGGGGAAGGTGGCACATTCTGCAGGAAGGCTTCTCAGGGCATGTGTCAGAGAGTAAGGAGCCCGGGGCACTGGCTCTGCCTGAGTTCAAGGCGGCCCTTCCCCTCAGTGCTGCTATGCACTGGGCCAGGCAGGTACCTCTGAGAGAGGACCAAGTCCTTCATTGCACTCCTGGACCCAGCCCGGTGCTGATGTATCACTGGGCTCAACCGAGCTTTGCTGAATGAACGAGCGGGTACTCACACAGCATCAGAATGACCTTCTGCAGCTCCCCCTGCTTCACTGACAGGTACAACTGCCGAGGGTGGAAGCGGAGTTTCTTCCGCCTGCCGTGAGGAGGGAGGGAGGGGCGGGCTCCTCAGGCTCCAGCATTAGCCTTAAAGCTAGAGATCTGCCCTTCCAGCCCCGCCGTAGCCTCCGTACCAGAGAGCAACCCCCCACTCACCTCTCTGACTCCTGGATGACCAGGGCCTTTTCCAGGGCCTCCCGGCCTGGCCCAGGTGGCAGCCCCACAGCTGAGAGGCAGCCTCCACTGGGCAGAGTCAGGGAGGGCCCGGAGCTGTCGATGGTGTCAGCCACGGGGTCGCAGGGTGGCCGCCGGGGCTCCCCCTGCCCTCGCATCCGGGCACTGTGGAAGAAGGGGCTAATGTCTCAGGGGCGATACAGAGGGACAGGGAACAGACAGTGGGAAAGGGTGAGGCTAGTACCTGGGCTGGGAAGTATCCGCTCTCCCAGGGGCATCCTGGGCCAGGGGTGGCGGGGCAGGGGTTGCAGTGCCAGCTGGTGGGGTCACTCCGTCCCCCCGGGGGATGGTCACCTCCTGGGCCTCGGATGCATCCTCCCCACAGTGGGGACAGAAGACCATCCCATTCAGCTGGGATACACAGGCCTTGTGGAAGCGATGGGCCACACGGAAGTCAGGGTGGCACTCTAGGAAGGTGCCCTGTGGCAGGAAACAATGTGGTGAGGTGATGGGAGCCCCTCCTCCAATGGGGCATGCCGCCTGTCTGCCCCACGGACACTCACCGCTGTACAGAAGTAACCACAGCCTGGACAGCAGTGGTGCTTCACCATGCGGGCCCGGTGGGTCTCACAGAGCACCATCAGGGCCACGCGGCTGGACGGCCTCATGGTCTCCCGCTTGAGGATTGCAGCATTGCAGCCCGACAGCTGTGGGCAGTGAGGGTGGGGGAGGAGAGGTGAGGCTGGGGTGAGGCTCCACCCCGCCCCATTCCGTCCTCCTGGTGCACAGGCCTACCTCTCCGTCCACACTCTCCGTGGCCATGCACTTGTGCCCTGCCCGTTCGCTGATGCGATCAATCTTGGGTGCCTCCATGCGGCAGCTGCACAGGGGCAACTCCTCAAACCCGCGCTCTGTCTCCAGAGAAGACGTGTCGTTGGACACCCCTTGGACAGAGGAGAGAGGGAGCTGGGGGAGGCCCTGCCCTTCACCCACTGGGACCCCTGGCGGGGCTCTTCACCACCCTCTGCTTGCCTTTCCCTCCATGCTCCAGAACCCCCAAAGCCTGGCCATGGACATCCCAGCTCCAGTGGGGTCCCCCCTCCCCTTTCCCTCCGGTCCTGAGGGTGTCCCCTGGTGGCTCCCTATCCCAGCAATCGGCAATTACCAGCGTGGTTGGGGGAGAGGGTCCCCTCGCTGGGCAGCTCCAGGGACCCCAGAGGGACCTCCATGTACTCACTGGGGCCTGAGGAGCCCACACCATTCACTCCTGACACAGAGACAGAGAGAGTGAGAGCGCGAGCTCACGGCCGCCGTCGGGAGTGCAGGCGCACCTGCCGGAGCGCACCTGCCCGGGCGCGCTCGGGCCGGG